TATATGAAGAGACCGATATATTGAAGATATGTTGACGATACTTAACGGTTCTATGAAAATTGTGTATGTATCAACAATCAGTACAGCATCTCTAATAAATTGATATAAATAATTCCTTTATAAATGGAAAAAGATTTTTGACTTTCAGAATTCTAGAGAAGGGTATGAGAAGATGGTAGATTTTACTTTTGAAATGAATGTGAGATCTTTCGATTCTTTTAGAATCTCATACATAAATCAAACTTGGATACTCAGAATAAAATATTGAATAAGAAACAATAAAAATGAAAGGGCTCCTTTCTGCAATCTTATACCAGTATTTTCCTTCAGGAGTCTGGAAGTCAAATAACTGTTTTTTCCATTGTTTAATAGAATTGTTGAGTATTGATAAAATATTATTAATATGCTGGCCTCTTTATATAAGAAAATGAGCTATTCTAGGTCAAGATTTTTTAAGTTGACGAGTCTCTATAGTTTTGTATGAAACATTTAGAATATATCAAGTAATCGAAAATGCAACAAAGAAAATTATTGGTTATAGAAAATCCAAGAGCACCTGCAACTGTATCGAGTTGAGTTTATCTTAGGAGTCATATATATTTTTCAAGGATTATAACCAATATAAGAACCTTCAAAACATCAAAAACTTGATTCCTCATATACCATTCGATACTTAGCAAATTGCTTTACGAAACTATATACATGGTATTCTGTTTCAAGACAGGTCATCAAATCCAACAAGATCCTTTATTATTCAAATTCTAGAGAACGCATAGGAATATCTTTTTTTTCCTTAAATACATACCAGGTTTACATGAAGATACATGCCAATATGCTTGTTTGGTTATATTTTGTACAATGCCTTGTCGTTCATCTTCAGTTGGATCAATTTCTCGATTATTTTTACTAACACGAACAGGTACTGTACAAATGTTCGTAGTCATACTAAAAGCAAAAACTACATAGACGGTATGTAAAAACAAAACATATATATATTTATTGATTTTATTAAAAATATTATTAAAATAAGAAAAAAAAGTCATCAGGTTATGACAGAGTTGCTTGATTATGTTTTTCTTGTTGACGAATTTCACGTCGTTGAGTTGATTGACATATTAAATCAACCATTAAATTTTTATCAAGTTCAAAAAATTCTTTTTGTTTACATATTTCATTCATATTTTGTGAACATAATTCATAAATATAATCTAATAATAAATCAAATGCTGGTGACATTTGTTTAATAAAACAATACATTGATAAAATTAAATTATGATTTAAACATAAATAATAACAAATTTTTTCTACTGCAGCATTTTTTCCTGTTAAAAAATTTATTTTATTTGAATAAATCATACATTTAATTGCTGCTTCATATGACAGATTTTTTTGATATGTACCATTATAAATAAAAAATAATAATTCAATAAATGTTTCATAATCAATATCAGTTAATTCAATTGGTTTTATTTGAGATTTTTCACTAAAATCATCAAATAAAAGTGCACGAAAATATGAACAACGACAACACATAATATTTCGATGTACATTTATAATTTTATTATCAATAAGAAATTGTACATCAAGTTTAGTATCATTTAATGTTTGTTGATATAAATTCATCATTAATTGTGATAATGTTATACGATGTGCATTCATATCAAATATATTTGAACCAAGAAGTTCTATTAAACAAATAATAATAGGCAAAAAAAAATTAAAAAAAAAACAAATTTTACTTATAGCTTGAATACCAATTTGATCTGTATATCTTGGATCGAGAGTAATACGTATAGTGTTTGATTGAAAACGATAACGTCGTAAAATTGGTTTGAATATATTATGAGATAATATTGTCTTATCTGTAGGAGATTTTTGTTGCCACGATGTCCACCATTTATCTAAATAGAATTTTTTTATTAATAAAAACAATCGAATAAGTCGTAAATTCTGTGTTATTCAATATCTATTAAGAACTGTAAAGCAGAGATTATTCATCAGTCGATTCAGATCAATGAGCTCTCATAGGATGACTAACTGTCTTTCCATATAGATGAAGCAAGCATAAACGAGATCAGTCGAGCAAGTTTTACACGAACAGAATAAGTATTGTCTCCAATGAAAAAGTGTTGGTTCCGACAGATATAGAACCATATCTTAAATGAATAAAACACTCTAAACATTGTCTAATGTACTCGATGGAGTTTGATACGGTACATATGAAGGTATATGAATATCACAGAAATTCAATAGAAATGTAGAGCACATTTATATAGAAGTTGTGGTCAAAACTGAAATTGTAATATTGATTGCAACACATATATATATATAAATATTGTCTTTTGTCCTCTATAACACAACTGTATTTTGTACAGTATAATATAAAGTTATCTATTTATGTTAGCAATGAACGCATGAATATGTATATAACTCGTTTTGTTATCTCTTTTCAATAAGTTTGATAGTGTGGCTTTTTTCTTCCTTTTCTAATCTTTTTTCTTTTGTTTGCGATCACCGATGACAACAACAAACAAAAATAATTTACTTCTGTGGAAATGAGTAAAAGTCTAAGCAGAAAATTCAAATCATGAATAGGCTTAGTAGGTATGAAATTAATATGCATCAAAAAATTTGTAAAGGAAATTCAAGATGTCGTAATCCATTATTGAACAAGCACATGATTGTACACAATTTTCAAGAATAGATATATGTCCGTCAAGACTTTTCAATCGAAGTACAACAATAACCACGTTATTTTTATGTAATAAATGGGAACAATACAAGTAACCATGTAAATAGGTGGCAGCACATAAGACTGAAAAAGAATTCGTCTCACTTTTATGAATGTAATGTCTGCTATGCAAATAAAATTTATTATTGCAACGCTTTATCGAATCTTTGTTGATCAGTGTATGCCAACCATTTTTAGGAGTCATTCAGTACTCAAAAAGTTTGAAATCTTTACTTTTCTTATTTTTCTTTTTGGTTCTCTGGTGAAATTTCGTATTTCTATTGCACGTGTTGACAACAACACTCTAGTTTGATACAGGTTAGTTAGTTAAAAATAGAGAAAGTAGAATAAAACTCTAACGACGAAAAAATGATTTTACTCTACACTGTAAATTAGTGACTTTATCTGTCGTCTATCACACTTGATAAATCTCTGCCTTCATGAATTCTATATTTTCTCAGAACATAAAAAATGAAGTGTTTAGATGAATATTCATAGATACATAAGAGTCATTGATTTACATCATGTATTAATGGCTTCAATTTATCAATAAAAATAGATCTCAGTCTAATGGATAATTAATTGCAATTGATTTTTTCGGCTTCAGAATGTGATGCATACAAAAAAAAACGAAGTTTTCTCATACACACTTGGCCCAATCAGGTCCAATTTTTTTTCTTTTAAAATCTTCTTCGTAAGAAATTCGGCAGTGCTTTACATTAATAATAACATTGAAAGGAAAAAAAGAAGCATGCACTCGAGTTCGATCCTAATTGTCATAAAAAAACCGCAGCTCGAAAAAAAATGAAGTAGAGTTTAACAGAGGGAGGAAACTTTTGGCCTTTGCGACTCTCATATCTCTCTAAAACAACCATCTGTTAATTTCGTGTCTTTGACAAATTTTTCTTTATTCATTGAGATCTATCTTTGGTCGAGCCGTCCTAGAGAAACCCCAGAAACGAAGAATATTCTTAAATTTCTAGTTTGACTTTACGCAATCGTATGCATCGATCATCATAGAAAATTTCTTTTAATCTTACTTCTTTGAGACTCTAATATTTCTAATTTAACAATACTACCGGGATTGAGACTTTCATAAATACATATTTCATTAATAAATACAGGTGTTTGGAATGAAACAATTAAATTTTCTTCTTGATTATTATTTGATAAAATCCATCCATTATTAATGTTATCTTTTTCACCAAAATTAGCATCCGTTGCTTGACATAATTTTTCAACACCGATACCTTTTATCACAGTTTCTGAATAATTACATTTATATGAACAATATTCAATTAATTGAATCCATTGTTCAATAACAATCATTGTATTAGAATCCTAAAATAGATTAATCTAATACAAATAAATTTTTCAATGTATGATTTGTTTTTTATACGTTATTCATTTGAAATAGAATACTATTATGCACAAAATTGTAAGAAGGAATGCAATTGTCAGGATGTGATAATCATCACGACACAATTCTTTCTCAATCAATGTTATGAATAACCAAGAAAAAAATGAATGTAAACCAAATCAACAAATCTCTGGAATATTTTTGATAACCAATCACTTTATTCCTTGCGATAGTTGTCACTAATAAAAGCCTTGACAGTCGTTCATTTGATTCATAATAAACGTTTTTATTTAGTTTTTCTCACTATTTCTAATTGCTTAGCGATTTTATCTAGGTTAATTATTTACGACGATGAATCATAAAAATACATTCATGAGATAACCTCGACATACTGGACTTGATGTCTATTAGACTCAACATTTGTTTCATTTCTTTGTTTAAGAAATACAAAAAGATAAATATTTTGAACAATATGTTATGTAAAGTAATAGTTTTATTTGTCAAAGTATAACAAATAAAATGTAATGAACGAACGAATCAACGATAATAAATATGATTCAGAACCATTGTTTCTATTCATCGTTCTTATTATTATAAATATCCAACGAAATATGTAGCGTACAACTTACGATTCTATAATATTAGTTTTTCTTATTTATATGCATATCAAACCAATCTTTGACACAACCTATAAACACTGTTTAAGCATGAAAAAAAACTTTTTATTATCATTTAACATATATATATGAAAATCTATAAATTATATGTTTACGTTAAAATTAATAATCGAATATATACTCTCATTTTATTTTTCAAATAATAAATATTCTTTGAATAAAAACAAAAATTTAATATTTATTCAAAATTTTATTTTGTTTTGTTTTCTAATATTTTTATTTCAGTTTTAGAATGGAAGATCGAGATGGTAAAAAAGCATTTATTATCCCCAAAACTCATTCATCAAGTAAAGGTATAAATAAATTTATCAAATCAAAGATATTCTTTTTTTTTTATTTATTTTAATAATCATTTCTTACAGATGTTTTAATATCAGAAAAAACTGATAGTCGTAATGTAACTGAATTGTTTGATGATATAAAATCTTGTTCATTAGAAGCACATTTTGATTTTCGACAAAATGAATGTAAATCATGTGAAACAATACGTAATCAAAAACTACAAAAATTATATAAGTATTAAAAACAAATAAATAAATAAATAAATATATATATATATATATATATATTAAAATGATTATTAAAAAATATTTTAGTGAAAGAAGAACTCAAATGAAAAAAGATCAAGATCCAATAGAACGTTTTGCTTTTCATTTAATTACATCTCGAGATACAGCAATAAATATTGCAAATGATGGTCTTACATGTGAACAATTATCTTTTTCACTAGATAAATATCTTGGTAAGTGTATTATGTTTAATTACATTCATAATTTCTATTTTTATTTTTGTTCTTTATCTTTAAAAGGAAATCCTAAAGACGGTATACATCTATCAAGACGTCCAGATGTTCTTTTAGCATCATCTGGTACTCAGGGACTTTATAAATTTGGATTATTAATCTGTAAAGTATGGAAATAGTTGAAAGAATTTTAATTGAAAATATATGTTGTTGTTTTTTTTTAGATACTTTTGGGTAAAGGATATGCAACTATACCTTCAGTAAATAATAAACAATTGTCTGCACAATTACACTATGATCATCATTTTTGTAAAATTCAACCGGTTAATAAAGAACAACGTCATATTGACGATTTATTAGCAAATAGTTTAGTAAGTATTGAACCAAAATAAATGCTATTAATTCCATTATCATATCATCAAAATTGATTACCGAATTTTTACTTCGAAACTTTCACCATTGTTCAGTCGAATCTGAAGCAGAACAAGGAAAAATATAAGTACAATAAGTAAAAGCATTTCATTTGTACTTGAAAAAAAAATGTACTTGTACTTATGTGCGAAAAAAGTTATTAATATATTAAATGTCGTCTGTAATGTTAGCTACCTCTGATAAAATTTTCAAGATCATTGTGCCATCATTTGATCAAAAACTAAATGAAAATAAGAATATATTAATATAATATTTTTTCTTTCGAATGTTGATGAAGTTATTGCAGAACATTTGTAAAAATCATCCTAAGAATATATATGAATATCAATAGTATAAAATGAATTGAGTATATGATGAAATAATCATTTTAATTCTTTGCTGTAATCAATAAAGCTTTGTAAACAAACTATTTACGGTCGTGCATAAAATACATAAACATAAGTAATATTTTTCTTATACATACCTTTCTTATCAAAACAATAATAGCTTTTAGAAAACCTCAAAAACTTTTCATTACTCAAAACGAGCAAATGTCATAGACTCTTATAAGCACAAATTCTACTTCGTAGAATATTATTGTAAAACACGATCTAAAAAGAATATTAAAGTATAGTGGGGTAGATATTTGCATCCATTACACACACGTGAAGAGCAACTCATCTCAAACGTAACAGACATCATAGTAAGGAGTCATTATTGGTGTGATAGACGTCCTTAGCAAGGTCTCTTTTTCGCCCCACAAAGCATGATAGACCTTGTTGACATATACTGTCACAGAATGTATGTCAATAACATTTTGTGATATTATATGAGATATTTCCTTATTGTATTTCTTGAAATATTAGGTAAAAAGATGGCGAAGAAATATATTACAAAAGAGATAGAATAAAACAACTATATCGTATTTTACATTTGAATATTATTATGTTCAATCAATAGTTACATATTTTTTAAATTAATTTTCATTTAATTTCTTTTTCTCTCTTAAGATATTCTGTTATGAGCATGAAGATTTGCAAACTGTATCACGTCCATCTCAAATCTTACCTCTTGCTATACTATGGTATGATCTTAAAGAAAAATTCTCATCGAAATTAACATCAATATCACAAGAATCTCAACAAAATAATGAAAAAATAATTAAATCAAAAACTTTAATTCAAAATAAACCATCAACGAAACCTATACCTAAACCAATCTCAATATTAAATACTGGTACTTGGGATGATCTTATACAAGAACCAACAAATACTCCAATAACACCAACTATCTCAAATAAATATCCTAGTCAACTTATGTTACCATTATCATCATTTAATAATATACAATCATTAACAAATTATCGTGATCCTCGTTTATTACGAACAGTTGTTTCATCTGAAGTAATTCCATTATCACCACAACATCCAGTATATGAACGATCACAATCTGATACATCATCATTATCATTAAAATCAACAAATACAACAAAAAAAATGTCTCTAGTTAATATTCCATTAAATTCAACAAGTGAATTAATGGATCCACGTTTACCAACTTATAAATCAAAATATAATATTTTTTATCTTGAATTAAAAGCTGTTAAACATGCATTACAACAACAAAAACGTCTTAATAATTATTATCATAATTCTAAAACTAATACAAAACCTAAAACAAATTATACACTTATACCATTTTTTGTACGTTCAATATCATCAGATGAATGTGAAACAAATAATAATAATAATAAAATATCAAATCAATCATCACATTTAGATTATTCATCATTATCTGTATCTGTTATTGATTGTTTTCATTTTGGTTTAAAAACAACAAATAATAAATTATATATTGATTTAGAAGATAATGATAATAAATTAGCATATGAACAAATAAATATATCAAATCAATTAATTCAATATGAAAAACAATTAAATTCTCAAGAAATACGTTTACATTTACGAGAAAAACGACAAAGAAAAATGCAAGAATATTTTAATCAACAAAGAAAAAATCAATTAGCAAATTCGAAAACTTATGTTAATATTGGTCGAAAAATATTAAAAGAACATCAATTAGTAACACCATCATCAAATCAACAAATATCATTAGAATTATTAGATTTTTTTTCTTATGAATATCAACATGAAAATCGATCTAATGTAAAACATCTTTTAGCTGAACTTATAGGAGTTTTTGTTGACAAATATGGTCTGGCAAATAAACAAACTACATCAAACAATCATCAAGATAAAGTAATCGAAGGTAAGATTTAAGAAAACAAAGTGATCCCAGGTCAATGCTGATAGTTTTTCTTTCATTTGAAAATCAAATAAGACATTACACAATATTCTACAAAACATGGATATTTCAATTACTGTCAAGTGTTTGTTAGTGTAGTTCATGTTATTTTCTTATATTAAGTAGAAATTGAAAGTGAAATGAAACATAAAATATTAAAGTCTTTGATATACCTAGAATTTATCATTGTCTATTTAATAACAGTTCTTTTGCTAGATATTTCTTAGTTAGAAATATTTTTAAAAAAATAGTTAGGAATCAAAATAAATATATAATAAAATACACTAAACATGTTGATCATCATTTCAAATAATGTATCTATGTACGAAAATATGCTTAATTTTACAGGAAAAACTACATCTATGGTGCGAAAACAAAAATATTCGTAATATTACATCTGAATTTAATCACAGTTGTTTGCTTTCTTTGGACAAACATCTGTATTGTAGATGTAAAGATAAAGATTTTAAATTTTCATGATTGTGATTGACACTTTTCTTAAATGATATCTTTCGATATCATATCATAGCTATTCTGATCAATGAAAGATTCATCTATTCAATATTGTGCTCTATAAATGACGAAGAAAGCGCTGCTTTTCCTTTAGCTTTGATCAAGATCCGAAGTAATGTTTTCATTGTCAACTTTCAGTACACTAGTGGTAAGCGATTACAGCTGGAAGTTCAATCAAAGATATGGTACATGCAGTTCATCTACATGACATGTCTCTAAGTGCTGTGTATTGATCGATTCTAAATTAAGTAAATTTTGCTTCATCTCAAATATCTATATTAGTTGTGTATGGCTTATTAAAATATAAATATCATTTAAAAACTTCTTTTCAAAGAACTGGGAAATCCTTCATATTTGTTTAATCACAGATTTAATTGTGTATTGTTTTTTTTATATTATTTTTGATATCTAAATATGAAAAAATTTTGTAGAATCATATTGATACATACTTATGTTAAAACGGATCCTGTTGAAAGATTTAAAATGTTTATGTTTGCACTTATTAAATAATTGATTTTTTTTCTGTTTAAAGACGCCATCATGGAAGATCAAACTATCAATACTGTCATTGATATGGATCTTGAATCTCCATCTTCTCAAGGATTAGGTGATTATGATGAACGTTTTCGAGCACAAACGCCACCACTACTACCACCCATCAACGAACCAATCTACAATCAACTTCTTACATCTTTACCTATTACTCAAACATTATCTATAGAAACAAATAAATCATCTGATGAATTAAATAATAACAATATTGAACTTGTTCCACCTATACCAATAGATTTACCATTATCTATACCAAACATTAATAATGATCATAGTAGTTTTAAATCAAATATTGAACAAATTGAATTTCCATCTAATGAAAATAGTAACATTGATAATAATCATGCAATAAATATAAATGAGAATTTAACACAAATAATTAATTCAAATTCATCAATGGATATTGAAGATGATTCAAATCGTTCACGTGATGAATTCGTTAAATTATTAACAAAAGAAGTTTATATATTAAAATCACCAAGTCCATCAAAAATTGTTAATCATCGTAGACGTTCATATGATAATAATGAATCAAATATAAATAAAAATCTTTCATCAACACGAACAGTAACACTTGTATCAAAGAATTCTGAAGATAATATAATAATCGAAAGAACAGATATGAAGCAAGAAAAACAAGATGAAGAACCAACAGTTAAACGTATTAAAATTACATCAAATAGTGGTTTGTTTACTTTGGTTTTTTTTTCTTTTAATTTTGTTGAGCATCATTGCTCGATAACAATAGCTAGAAAATTCTAAATTTGCATGATCATTGTTATTACCCCATGCCGCTATCCAACAAATTTATGCTTCGTTTCCTATATGGTTCATGAGTAAAGATGTGTAAGACCAAATTTTTTGCTTTTAGTTATAGTACCAATGAATCTAGTCTAGTCCTGGCCCTGATCCAATGCTAATAGCTTCTTTTCTATTAGTCCTAGTCCCGTTTTCGTTTTTTTATTTAAAAAGTTCGGACAGCGCTTTTTTCGTAGTAAGAAACTGCGGATCCTTCCAGACCTGGACTCCAGTCCAAAGTTTTGTTATTTTTCGGATCCGAATCCGCAAAGACATGAATTCACAGCTTCACACCGCATAGTTCCGATATCACTCTTATTTGAAAATAGACAAGCTTAGAAAAAAACGTACAGTTCTATATGTTAGTACTGAAAGGTTCAATTATTCATTTGTTTCTTGGTTTTATTTTTTCAAGACACAGATTCTCCGATTAAAATTATCGATGATCATGATTATCGTCAAGATCTTGATGAAAGAAAACGACAAACACAAATGAATAAACGATCATCACGTTCTCGTTCACGTTCAAAATCAACAAGTTCACGTACTTCATCTATAAAAGAATCTAAAACACGATCACCATCATCATCATCATCCAGTCGTGCATCATCAATTAGTAATCGTTATCGACGACAACAAAGTGATTATAAATATGAACGTCATCATTCATCAGATAGATCTCATCATTATCATCAACGAAATATAAATAATTCAACTTCAATAAATTCACAACCAGTACGTCATCAAAGATTTAATTATAATCATCAATCAGTTGCTGATCATCCACGTTTTGCTAATTTAAATGTACGATCAACTCCAATAAGAAGTCTCATGCATGATTCATTTGATACATCGAATTATTCACAGTCCTTAACAGATTATCGTGACAGATCATCTATGACAAATACAAATCGAAAGTAAGAAAACAAAAGATTGATTTCTGCATAGAGAAAAAATTTCAATATTTTTTAAATAGAATTTTTCTGAAAAAATTCTTCAAAGTAAAGTTTACCGTCATATCATAAAAAGAAATTTATTAAAGTCGAATATTTTCATTGTTTCTAATGTCGTATCAATCAAACTTAAAGAATAAAAAATAAAACGATGATATCGACATTAGAACTTTACATATATGAATATTTCGTTATAATTAAAACGAGTTATAAAAAAATATTACTGATCGTAGTTTTTTATGTTATTCATATCCTCAGATGGAATTTTTCCATGCATGTACCGAACTCAAAGTGCGGCTCAGTGTTCGAACTGTACCTTTTACGTTCGAGAACCAGCCGAACGATTCGAGTTCGCTCTCAGTATGAAGAAGTATCTTCTTTCAGCACATTGCAAATTATTATGCTTTTAAGCAACATATACTAGAGAGTCTATTAAAACAGATTGTATTTATACCTTTGATCGATTTTAATATCTACAATATGCATAAGAAAGAATCGTTTGATAGATACAAGACAAAAGAACGAAATAAAGACACATGCATATGAATAAGAATATATCTGTTGATACCAAATTGTTTTGTTCATATCAGACCAAACTTGAATCTTCGAGTTCAATGTATGTCTATATCTGTCGTAAATAATTTTCTTATCATAGTATATTTGGACTTATGATCTTCCACTCTTTTTATTCGTTTTTCTAATATCTAAACAATAGTTCCAATATGTAAAGAAATTAACACAAAAGAAATACTTTCATATTAATTTATATATTTATTGTATATCCAACAATTTAGATATTGTGCAGTTTTTACATTATTATTCTAATTTTATTATTTAGAAAAGTTCGCTGTACAACACTACGTTCTACTTGAACGTATAGATAATGGTATTGATATAAATGTATGTTTTGTATCAATTCTATATATTAACATTTTACTTGATAAACGAATTCGCTTAAAATACAAGCTTCTTGAATCTTACATGTTTTAATAATAATAAAAATTGAACGAAAAAAAAACACAAACGAATAATCTAATTGTCTTTAAAAACAAACTCTGTAAGACTCAAGTTGGTTTATATTTTAGCATATATATTTAAATATCTTTTGTACGTTGTTGTATCTCAATTTTGTTTTGTTTGTTGAACTCATCTATATTTGATGACATTGTTTTATTCATTTTTCTAGCTTCGACTCTTCGTATTACACTGACTTATTCTCAAACAATCGAAATTATTCAGATAATCATAATAACGATCTTCCACCACCTCAGCCGCTAATGTCTACTACACCAGCAATGAATTTTTCTTATTCATATGATTCAAAACCATCTCATACAATAGAACGTTTGGAAATGATTCTTCAAAATAGAACAATAACATCATATGAACATGAACAGACATCATTAAATGATTATTCTTCATCATCATACGCAATGAAACCACCACAAAATAGTAATAAACCTTCTTGGTCTTCATCGAGATAATCTTCATGATCAATATCTGATGCAAAAATTTCAAAATAATCAAACGTCTATTTGTATTGGCTCAGAGAAATAATTAACATTTGTAAAACATCTATACTCATAAAAAAACTTGCTTATTTTTGTTTCTCATACTTTCCGCTCTTTGTTTTTTGTTATGTAAAGCACTACATTTTTCTTGTGTTAAGTATACAAATAAGAGGATAGCAACGGTAGTGAAAGTAGTCAAACACTTTCTCGTTGTTGTAAAATAGAAAAGCATTTAGTTTTTGTTCGTAAACATTGTAAATAAATAGTTTAAGATACTTGATATATGAAAGATAAACTAATAAAATATTTGCTGAAATATGAAAGACTTTTATTGATTTATTTGTCGAATTTTTGTTCACTGTACAATGATTTATAATTTAAAAAATTTGGATAAATAACTGAAAATTGATTACTATGACTTGATAATAATGTATGAAAATATTGATGAATTTCATGTGTATGATCATATAAAATACACTTCGATATTTCATTTAATTGTGATGATTGGCTAACAACAGAAATATTAAATTGAAACGATGGTTTAATATTTTCAAATGCTAATCGTACAGTTTTATGTAAATGTTTTAATAAATGTTTAGCACCAACACTACCAATCCACATACGAAATGTATTTAAATTTGGATAATTATTTGGTTTAAGTACTTGTTGAAGATAATTTATTGTTGCATGATTAAGATGAGATTTAATTGATATTATTTCAACTATTTCAAGTTGACAAAATTTATCAATAAGCAATGGTGTTAATTGAAAATTACTATCACTAATAAGAATAAATCGACGTAAAGAATGAAAAATATTTAATGAATAAAGTTGTGTTAATTTGGCATGAAGTGTCATGGGAACTTTAACATCAAATATTAATGATTGTAAATGATTTGTATTTTGTATATTAAGATCATCAATATGAAGTTCATAGTTTGGTATACGTATACTTAAATGATGTAAATCTAATGTTTGAATTAGAGTTTGAATTACATAATGAATTAATTTTTTATATTGAAATAGAGATTCATTGTTATTAGAATATTGATGAATGGATGCATGACGAATACAATGATATCTATGTTGATCAAGAAACATTGAACATGATTGTCTCATATTAGATATATGTGAGACGAGATTAAGTGACAGAAGATTTTTATTTAATGAATGAATTTCATATGGTAGAGAATTTGATTTTGTTGGACAATGACATTCGAATTGATCAATATATAGAAGTAAACAAGGTGAGAGACTTAATGATTGAAGTATATGTAAGGAATTGAAAATATGTTTAAAATCAATGGAATGACAATGAATACCGGTTAAATTTAAATTAGTTAATGTATTCAACCAGGAATGTTTGAGAGACATTTGAAAAATAGATGATTGATTATGATCGATGAATTCAAGTGAAAATTCATCAATAATATCTGATGATGTCTAGTCAAAGAAATAAAATGTATAGAATTATATGATATTATTAAAAAGTCTCATATGTTCTATATGAATTGCTATTTTATGATACATGGGTTCACTACTATTCGTTTATAAAATGCAATGTGCTGTGTTGTTTTTTTTTTCAATAACTTGTGATAGGAATATCATGATAACCTGCGGTTTTCTCCACTCAAGAGAGAAGACCCAAATCCATTCAAATATGTTGAAATTTGATTAGTCAGCACTTGGTCAGTCAGGTGAGTTCTTGTCAAAGGTCTCGAAAGCAGAATCGTGAGGCTATTCCATTTTCGATTTATGCAAAGCTGACATTCCAGGCTTTTTTTGTTCGAGAATTATAAGACTTGTCATGATAATCGCGATTTCAGACAATTGACCCGTAATTACCTATGAAAGCAACCAGGGAGGAGTAATTCACTCGGATAAGTTGAATGATGTTATTTGTTTTTAGATTGAAAATATTTTGATTGTATTATACAAATATTTCTGAAATTTCACAATCAGCCTTCATGTAATAATGGGGTCGACATTTCGACAACATTTAAATAACAATGTCAGATCAGTTTGAACCCAAAAAAGAATATCACCATTCGTTTCCGCATAGTGGATTACTCTTGACCAACTACATTTCCAAACGATAAAAGTTCAATTGGTTATAGTTGGCGGTCTTAGTAAGAAAAATCTTATGAATCTCGAACAAATACTATTTTCGAAAGCCTACACCAAGAACTTACCTGCTTGGTTAATTGCTGACCAATCAAATTTCGGAAAAACTTTCATTCAACTCTCTAGTCGTCCAGTTATAGATGTAAGTCGACGCTGTAGGCGATAGCGACAAAGGCTGGTTTTATCCTAACTATCTTCCTTTTGTTAGCAGTTGTGGCTCTCAGAGTTTGAAAGTTTTCTTCCAATAATCGACGGCGTGAGCTGTTCAGGTGATCGGCTGAAATCTGTAGGCTCAGCTGCGCCTTCGTTGCAAAATAGAAATAAATACTAAGTTTTTGGAAAATTTCGATATCCATGATCAAGTTTTAAGTATAGTCTCGTCTATAAATTTATACGTGAGCAGTGGAAGTTCGTTAAACAATCTATTGTTCGAAATCTAAAAGTCGGCTTTTTTTCGCTGAAAAGTCGCTCAAAAGGTTTTCGTATGAATTTGTTTTTCATAAAAACGAGCGTCTTAATTTTTCTCCAACTTGATATTGGAAAATAGAGTCATCTTAGATGAAAATGTGCCAATCTCGAAGAATTGACATGGATAGAAAGATACAGAGAGTAAGAAACAAGAAAGATCACTTTATGCTTTACAAAATGAACTATTCGCTTTCTTTCTATTCATTCCTTTGATGTTTGAAAATTTCATTTTCTTAGACTATTTCACTATAAAATATGATTTTTTCGCAGTATGAGTCTTATAACCCAACAACGGCATAAGGTAGGGAACTGAAATTACCTGTTCGACATCTCCGAATAAATTCAACACAATAGGTTTTTCCATTTCTTCTTCTTCTTCTTCTTCTTCTTCTTCACCTTCTTCCAATGTCTCAATTTGATTAAAACAGTTTTCAAACACAGAACTAAATTGTTCTTTTGAAGTTATTATTTGTTTACTATTGTCTTCTTTTTTCCATACTAGAACAAGTTTCGCTGATTGCCATTCACTTAAACTAATAGTCAAATTTCGAAGAGAATTCTGACGATGAGAAAAAAGAATTTGATCAAGTCTTGTTAATTCTATTTTATCATTTACATATACATAACCAATATCAAGTATTTTTAATTGATTAAGATCAAGAATATCAATTGACTTTGATGTCGATGGTACACATGGTAATACTAAAGTTTGAAGTTGCAATTTATCTATCGTCGAATCTTTGATATCTAATGTTAAATTTACACTTGGTATCGGTCGAAAAGAAACTATTAAATGATTTAATGTTGGTATTAAAGATAAATCCATTGATCCCAACGATGATCTGTTAGAAGTTGTCGACGAAAAAAATCGATTTTGAATTTCATATCCATTTTCTTCAATAGATATAAGTTTATAATGATTTGTCATATTAGATATATATTCACATACTAAATGAAAATATATTTGAGCACCTGCATCAGAAAGACAAGCTCCTAAAGAATAATAAAATAAATTTATATTTTTGTCGAATCAATGCTTTTAGTAGTACCTTTTCTTTCTTGCAATACTAATGATATATGTTCAAGTTGATCAATCGTATTCAATGATGTACATATTTCTTGAAATATAGTATCAGTAGTTGAATATTGACGAGTAGATAAATATGATATCTTTGAACTATCAAGTGATATTAATAAAGTAATATATTTTATAAAAGGAAAAAGTATTTTAATATCATTAATTAATGTGCTTCTTGATAATGCAACATTTCCTGTATGAAAACAAACTAATGAACGAAAACTTGCAAGTAAACGACGTAAATCAGCTACAATCATCCAATTAAGATTATCAATACGAAGATCTACACAATACATAGCAACTTCTTTAATAAACGATAATAAAATCTTCTTATTATGTAATGATGATAATCGAATACAGCTTTAAAAGAAAAAAAAATTATTTGAAATAAACATCTTTTCAATGTGTTCACCTCCAAAAAGCACGTAAATGAATCATTCTGGATAAATCAAAATCAAGTGCTTGAAGAAAATGCCACATATCTATTGATGATGAACATTTTGATAGAATTGTATAAAGTATATCTTCATGTAAGGATTTAACTGTTGTCATCTGAAGAAAAGTTTTCTTATTTTTTTTATTATCGTTCAAAAATACATAAATCATATTGCAATACTGGTTTCTTTTTGTTCATAAGATGAGAGAAAAAGGAAAAAGGGAAGACAAAAAAAAAAGCAACAAAAATAATTTATCACAATATAATCACCAATCATCAATATCATTCGATTGATCGTTAAGAATAAGTTGAATTAAATTTTGTGTATTATTTGATATAAGTAATGAACCATCGTTCATTAATACTATTGATGAATATGAATAATCTATGTTAGATTTTGCAGTTGTGATACTATTAGATATTGGAGAAATATTCGACGGTAATAATTTTATTTGACCAATTTCTTTTTCATAATGAAAAAATCGAAGCATATGATGAATTTGATCAATAATAAAAAATGATGAAATATTAATAAAATGAACAATAAAAGGTAATTGAAAATATCTGTTAGATAGAGTTATTCGACGAACAAAACACATTTTAGACTTCTTAAATACTAACAAACGTGTGTCTTCGATTTGTGAAGCGGCTTGACCTTAAATAAAGAAAATAAAATTTATTTTAAACTATGCTTAAAAGAAATATGTAATTCTATACGAAAACAATTATAATTCTCTGAGTACCCTTACGGTATCACTTGTCATGAATATCGGATTTTTTTGAAAACTTATTATCTCGAGAACGAACTTGTTTTGTGATCCAAATCTAGCTCATGTCAAACCGACTTTGTGTGGATATTCTTAGAGCAAAGTATGATATATATATATATATTGAAACTAGAAATGTGTAAAACTAATTTTTTTCTCAATTCTGCTCTCGATGAATTATTTTTCCGAGGTTTTGGTCGTAATGCTACTGAATCTGGTCTTATCCCGATCCTGACTTAGAAAAGACAATTTCAGAATTCATTCGCATTCAATATAAAACAGTCTTAAATAATCGTGTTTGGATTAATTCAACCAATTGAATGTCACCTTTTTCGATCCATTTCTCCTGAATTTTGATATCATTGATGTGATTGATAATATAACGCACAATGTACTATAGAAAAATTTAACTACAACCTTTAATTCCAATTCAAACAATTTTTTCTTCATAGTTCGACATTCTACTCATCTTTAACTGAAATTATAAATGTGATGCACACATCAATGAAAATTGATATTTTTAGTCTTTAGTGAAAATTAAAAAAACTGAATCTTAACGAATGATAATACCTGCTAGATCATCATTTATTGCCAGTCGAACGAATAAAACAACCTAAATATGAATTTTTAAAGAAACAAGACTAATATATATATATATTTTTTTAAATGTTCTTACGTATTCTTGATTAATACCAAGACCTATAACAAACCCATTATCATGTGAATGAATATGTTCATCGGTTTGAAAAAATCTATCAATTGAATATGATCGAACACATTCAAATGTTGGACTTAATAAACGTAATCGTTTTCGTCCATCGATTCTTTCATAATAAATATATGTATGACATTCATCTGTACGCATAAATATTTGATCTTTTATTATATCATTATGATTTTTTGGTAAACAAGTACGTAGAGAAATTTTTAAACGAAGATTATAAGTTGATTCAATTGTATAAATTTCATATTGACTATCATCTGTTACTGTAATAAATGATTTTAAACTATCGAACCAAACAAGTTGTATCATATGTCCATGATACCATTGAAGTATAATTGGATTAACATTTCCATCACCAATAAAAATCAATTGTTTCGTTTGACGAGAATAACATCTAAGAAAAAAAAAAGAAATACCATTATATGGCTTCTATATGTTTTAAATTAATTTACTAACAAAAGATCATTGCCATTTGATGCAATTAAATTGATATCATAATTAAAATGTCGAGAAGTACCAAGATGATACAATCTTGGATCAAGTAAATATTCCGAATCATCATGTTTATTTGTTTCAATTTCTTCAATCCATTGAAAATTATCTTCTTCATCATCATCATCTTTTGGTGTAATAAATGTTTGTGAATTATTAGAAAAAAATAATGGTGCTGTTGTTGTTGTCGTTCTATTTGTAGAAGTTAATGAAAGATGAGAAGGTAATGGAATATTGGTTGCTGTATTTGTTTCAATGTCCCAATCTTCTTCTGCTGCTGATGTATCTTTAAAATGATAGGAAACTTTATATCGAGGTTGGAATGTACGTGAATCAGGTAGACGGATATCTTTTGTTAATTGATAATTTGCAAGTTTTGTTGCTAAATCATTAAGTTTTATTTGTATTGCATTAATATTCATATTATGATTTAATTGTTGAATATCTTTATCAATTGAATGCATAGTTATATCAAATTGAGCTAATTCATCTCGAGCTCTATCACGTTCATTTTGAATATTTTCAATAATTTGTGTTTGAGTTTCAATAAGATCATTGATTAATCTTTGATACCAATTAATAACTATTTCAATTGATTCATTACTTGTATCATTAATATATTTTTCTTTTTCATTGATTTTATTTGTTAAATCATTATATTGATCTTGTATTTGAACAATTTCTTGTTCATGTTTTTTACAATGAATTAAAGTGCATTCGGAACACAATGATTGATTGCATTGAGAACAATTAGAAACTGATGAACAAAAACGATTAAATTCTTCTCTACAATAATAACATTCTTTATCTGCTAACTCAGTATTTGAACTAGTAGATTCCATGTTTTTTTTTTTATTTTGAATATTAAATAATAATTTCAGAAATTATTCGTAATTGACAACTGGGAACGAAAAAGGGAAGAAAGTGCATATTGCTACAATTTGATTGGCTGAAGAAGTTTCCAACTAATGTATTATAGTATGATGTCGTCGATTCACATTGAGTAGTACCTCTGATAATCTAGCATAATCTGAATGTATTAAAATATCTAAACGAATTTATTCTCAGATGTCTAGATCACACAAACTCATTTGAAAATAGTTCAATTTCAAACGACTATAGAGAACAAACAGCATGGAAGTAATGATTAGGTAATTGTACTACCATAAAAAAAAATTGTAATGTTCTTATTGACAGAACTAAATGGAAAGATATTTTATGTAGTACATTCAAAATAATGTTAAAACATTTTAGAATAAAGGAAATTCTTTCTTGGATATAATATTTTACATTATAAATTAATACATAGTTCCGAGAGAGAACACATTTGCTTCACGTCTTAGATTGCAACTCATTAGGCCAAATATAATCAAAAACGCAATACAGAAGTATAATTGGCATTTCATCAGATAAGTCATATACTAAAGAGTACACATTAGAGGGATAACCGTGTTATTAAAACTTAATCTATTCAATCTCTGCTAGAGAATAATAAAAGTTTCAAACTACTAAAAATACAATTAAGCACTTTCAAGGTCAGTCACTTCAAAAGACCATATTTACTACAATTTTGTTTCGCCTATCAGACTTTGTGATGCTATTTTTGGTGATCATTTTCACACGCTTTTAATTTGACAAAAAAATGACGACACTAAGATAGTTCTACAAAGTCTGATAGGTTTTCATGGTTGGATATTCATTGTACATTACAGTGCGACCCACTGGTAGGTCACGTAATGGAGAATATGTTAAAAAGCGTATTGAATGACCAAGTCTTTGCAATTTCATTGACATAGACGCTTCTACTAATAATTATGTCAAAAGTATATTGTTATCTTTCTCTTCAACCACATCATTCTTTTCTCATTTATTTTTTTATTGACTGATTGATAGACTAAAGAAAAGACATGTCTGCAGCTCTCACGATGACAGACAACAGCTCATGAGAATTTCGAGACTGCCAATTCGCCTGCATAGATTCTAATATCTTGAAAGATTGTTATTGTTCACAACAATAAACAAAATATGATGGCAAGGCTTGTAAAAAAAACGGGTACGGTAATTTTCAGGTCACAGAAGATTGTTTTCGCAACAATGCTATTTTAAAAATCACAAAATCATTGACGAGCCGCCAGAAGACAATTGACGGGAACTGCCACATTTACAAGATTCTTGGTGACATATATATTTTGTTAAAACACATTTTAATATAAAATGCTGCTATCGGTAATAAAAAATACTTGAGCAATATAGCCTTTCCATGTATGAATGAATTATTTAATATTCCATAGACTATACCGATCAAGTGCTATGAATGCGGACGAAGCTTTTTGTTATTAAGACGGCTAAAAACTTATTTAAGAAATAATATCGGACGGGAAAGATTATCAGGCTTACATTAATGATATTAAATGTTGAAAGAAATTTTTAGTTAATATAGATATAATAATAGCAGAGTTTATTACAAAAAAAAAGTTACAGAAAAAATGAGTTTTTAATATGAACTTTTTCTTATTGTTTTTAACATCTTTTTTTCAATAGTCATTTTTTTATTTGTTTCATTTCAACAGTAAAAAAAGACTAGTTTTATTTGTAATATGAATGACGCATATAGTCGTTATGTAGAATGACCCACGTATGCACAACCATGCAGGATTGTTAAATTTTCTATCACTTTTCCATAAAAAGTTAAAAGTATTATAGAAATCAAAAAAAGTATTTTTTTTTTTTTTTGATGAATTTGGGTTTTTTTTTACAATCTATGTGTTACTTTTAACCTTTTAAGCAGGAGATGACAGAAAACGCAGCGACTCTTCATTTCGTACTTTCCATACACAGCATTCTTCCAATAACTATTCTATGACCTGAAAACTATCGTGTCCGGTTTTTTAGAAATCTTGGTATAGAATACATTAAATAGAATACTCCGTTGACTATTAAAATCCCCATATGAATTTGATCTCATTGCACAATATTATAAAAAGAAAAAATCAAAAATATGTCTTTGTTAAACTTTTTTCACGATTTTATATACTGAATATTTGCGTCCACTTTATTAATTTGAATTAATTGAATAATATTATTTTTATAAGCATACAGTGAAAGATAAAAAGAAAAGCAATGAAAATTGTGTATGTGATCTTCTATTAACATTTATAATCAACTTCCAAATGATTTTTCGACAAAAAAAAATGTAAATAATTTTTTCTTTTTCTTCTTCATCTACAACTGAATAAAACAAATAAAGCAAAAGAAAACAAATGTCAATCAATCGAATCCATAACTATTTTATATATATACTGCATAAATTACACTATACTAAAATAGGTTTCTGTTTATATATCATCAAGGTTATCGAAAAGAAGACACACATGTAAATAAAAATATAATATCTACGAAATTTAAATTATTTCTTAATCTCTTTCTATAAATTGAACACATTGTAATTGTTGTGTACCATTTGCAATTATAACATCATTTCTTGCATGTATTGTTAAAGCACGTCCTATTCGAACTAATGGAATATATTCTTTTTTTCCATTTTGATCAACAATCCATAATGTTTTGTCACCATTTGTTATAAAAAATAAACCATTATTATTAACACGTATTTCATGATCAATATCACATTCACCTAAATCTATTGTACATAGTTCATGTAAATCAATACTATCACATAATGTTAAATGAAAAATTTTTCTATGAGAATATATGTATGGTATTGGTCGAAATTGAAATAATGTTGCTAAAATATGTGCATGTATACAAAATGATGTACTATTATTCATAAAATGTGAATAATCATTTAAATTAAATATTTTTATACAATTAAATGTTTTTGGTGTATATATGCTTAATTGATTTGATTGTGGAGTATCTGTCCAAATCCAAATATAATTCTTATCAGTTGATAATCTAACATATGAACAATTTTTTGTTAATTGTATTTGTATATCAAATATTGAATTTATAATAGTACATGTATAAACACCGGTTTTAGTAGCACAAACAAATTGTGATGATGCTGGAGAATAAACTATATCAAGAATAGAATGATATAACCATCGACATGATATTTCTTTCGTTATGGATGTATTATTAACTTCTTTAGTGTGTATAACATTTGTTATATAACAAAGTGAGTTTGATGAATCAGAAAAATAAAGTAAATGTTCGCCATCACTTGCAATTCGATCAACTTCTTTTTCTGTTAATATTGTACTTTGTTGAATCAAACGTGTACTTAAACAATCTTCTGTGCTAAAACGATCATTAAAATGATTTGTTTTATGTGGTACATACAAATTTTCTCGATAATCAATATTATAATTAAAACCAATTATTGGATCAGTTTGAATTTGTTTATTCATAAAGCTATTTTGATTAAGTTCTTCAATTTCTGTTTCAACATCAATTTTTTCATTTGGTAATCCAGTTAATTTACCATATGAACATCGTGTTAAAATTGTTTTACCTGGATAAGAAGCAGAAAATTTTTTTGTTGATGTATATAAATTTGAAAGAAGTTGACACTGTAAGTCAAGTTTATTTCGTGGAAATGTTGACATTTTTATTTGCATTTTTGGTGATGAAAATGTATCAAGACGACGTTCAATATCATTTATTTGTTTTCGTTGTATTTCAAGTTCAAATGTAGTATTTTTTATTATACCTTCACGAGTCCAACTGTGTTGAGCTTTAGTCATTAATGGCTTAATATTAGTCAGCATTTCTGATAAAACTATCTAGAATAGTGTTATTGATTTTGAATCGATTATTTTTTTTTCTTGTCATAAAACTTACTTCGGCATCATTAAATTGTTGTTTAACATAATTAATACTTTCACGTCGAAGATTTTCTAAATCATTAAGTACTTCATCAAATGCAGAATTCACACTACGTAAACAATGTTCTTGATATTGACTAAGAAATTGTTGTTTATTATCAAACACATTTTGCAAATGATTAAATTCATCAACCAATTGACTTGTATGTTTCTCAAAACATTCATAACACATTGATAAACGACAATGTTCACAAAAAAAGCATGAAAAATGTCTAGTTTTATCACTTGATGATGATGATGAACATACTTGACAATAATGATCATCAAGTGAAGGTATTTTCGGACGGTTGCTCATTGTAACTTATAATTAAATAATTGTAAGCGGTTAGAAGTTTGTTGTGTGGTTATTAATATAAAAAAAAAGAGAATTTGCCGTCGTGGTTGTCGCTGCCAAAACTGACAACTTTTTCTTTTTCTACTTTTGCTTTTACTCGCCTATTTGATTGTGTGTTAAGAGGAATAGTAGTAGTAAAAAAAAAAGAAAAGAGAAACGCGCATAAAAAAAAGTTGGAATGCAGTAACGATCAACAATCTTCATTCAAAGAGAAAAGCACTTTCTCTTTGTGTATTTATGTCTAACATTCTTGAAACTATTGTTGATTCAAATTAAAATGAAAATAATTGAATTTTTATTATTTCAATGTTCTAGAAGGTGCCTTCTAACAAAAAAAAAGAAAAAAAAATTCAATTGAATCCAGTCATTAGTTTTTATTTTGTTCAAAGGTAGCTTTTTTTAAAACTCATTTGTATCATATTTATACTAAATATAGTAGTTAAGTTCAATTCTTCCGTAAAGCATTTCTAGCAATAATTGGTCTCGATAATATTTTCTTTATTTATTTTTGTATTCGAGTAGACTATATGTGGAATGTAGACAAGTTATTATTGTTCAATTAACTTAGTATTTGAACTGGTTGTTCTTGTGCGTGTTACTTGGTTCAGTTAGAAATATTGCGGTAAAACTTTCTGTCTCAAGGTCATTTATTATTTGAAGAAGAATGAACTATGTATTTTTAAGCAGAGAAAAAAAAATCAAAGAATCATGGGAAAATATCAAGATATATTTACTCCTTTCCACTAGTAACAATAATATGACAAACTAATAAAAATTTTGTTACGTCTAAAGGAAAGAATGATGCACAAGTTCTGCTTTCAGTATAATGTGACGACAAGTCATCACGAAGATTTGATTTGATAGTATTCTTCTTAGAAAGAACAAAACTGTGTAAAAATATTTTGTTCAAAATATTTATCGAAAGCTCGAATATTTTTAAGAATATATTTGACTAGAAAAGTCATTTGCAACTATAAACAAAAATCAGGGATGAGAAAAACATTTCATCGATTTCTCTTGCATTCGGTTTTCTCCTAGTATCAAAATATTTGAATTACAAAACCACAAATTTCAAAGGAAAATAATTTTATTTAAAAAAAAAGTTGATTTTCTATCTACAACATTCTATAAAATTTTCTCGTAGTATCTAATAGAAAAATGGTGGGCTCTCTAAACTTTAACTCGGCATAAAATATAGAGTTCCATTAACTTCAATGCCTCAAAAAAATCTTAATTTTCGAAATGACTTATTAATTGTGAACGCTACTCACTAACAAAAGATGTTGGACAAATGTCGCTTTCAAACACGACTAATATACTGAAACTTTCATTTTTCCATGTTTACAATGCATTATTATAGCGCTACAAAACCAGATAAAAAAATGAAAAATAAGACTGACATTTTTTACGATGGA